AACTTATATTTCAATAAATAAATAGAAAACCTTATTATGATATCAATATATATTAGGTTATCTGAAATATTCTTTTTCAATAATGGTTATCAGAAATATTCTTTTTCAATAATGAAATAGACATTTCTTATTATATATATATATATATCTATAAATACCTGTATACCTGTATTATCTTTCTTCCATATACTCCTTATATTCTTCTATAATATCTTTCAAGGAATTTACTTCTTAATTGTGCTTTAAACCCATTGGGAAATGATTGAACCCTACCTTGGCCTTTTTTATTGTTGCATCGCCAGCTTTGCCTTTTGTAGGCCTCTGAGAACTCTCTCGCCGGCTGGCTTTTGGAGAAGATCACGTCTGTCGCAAATCTTCCTCAGGTGCGCGGGGGGTTCAAGGTTTATAGGGCCTCGTGGTGTGCCATCGCAAAGTCTGTTGTCTGACAACAATCAAAAACATTTACGGGCTTAGGTTCTTTGGGTAGAAATCTCTTGAACCGAACCCCTGTGTCCAAAACGCTTGCAAGCAGGGCTGCTGCTAGGAAACTACCCTGGCCCCGATGAAAGCTGCTTAGGACAAGGTTTTAGGGTTTAGGGGTTTGGAGTTTAGGGTTTAGGGGTTTAGGGTTTTGGGTTGAGGGGCTGAGGGCTTGGGGTATGATATAGTGTTGAAAGTGAAAAGCCAACTGCACATGCCTAAGCTCGTCTGTTCGATGAGACCCTTCGCACCGGAGCTAGCGGTCTCAGAAACAAACTTCAAGGTGGATCTCATAATTTAGGGTCTACGTTTGCTCCGTGACGATTGTTTCGGAAATCTTAAAGGCATTACCCATATCAACAATCAGATACCCACTGCGCCGAAGAACAGCTACAGGCAAAAAACATACTTGTCCCATTATCAAGGGCAACACCATAAACCCCACAAACCCTTGCTTGGATGATTCTCTCCCGTCCTCGTGAGCTTCAGGTATCACTTGAACCATTCAGGCAAGACTTAAGACTCTCCGGACCCCGTACCCTGACAGGTTTTAGGGGTTTGGGGTGTGACACTCACATCCCGGAAGCCTAAATTTCAAAAACTCAACCCGCAGAAGTGCTCACAGGCTGACACATAATAGCCATGATTATGTATAAGTGTGTGTGTGTGTGTATATATATATATATATATGTGAATAAGAACACTGACCAAACGACGGCTGCTACAACCGACTTGGCGGTGATTGGTCCATATGTCTGCAGCTCTCGGGTTTGGGCTGTTACGGATTCTGGACATATCAAGGCACCGGACCTGAGCAAAACCGGGACAACAATCCTGAATGCTACGGATAGGGTTTAGGGTTTTAGGGTTTAGGGTTACCAAGAGAATAAGCCTCATAATCGAAACAACAAACACTAAATGCCACCCCCACCGTTCGGGGCTTATCGGATCCCAGACTGGTGCATGCTGCCATCCAAGGAGCTTAGCTTCTTCGTACAGTGACACGGCGTTGCCTGTCTGGTTCTTTTTCATCCAAATGCATATGTGAAGAGAAAGCTAACACACATGGTCAAATAACTTCGACTTGGACTTACCTGTAGTCGATGTCTGTGCTAAATATACCTCTAATAGTGGCAGCTTGCCGCTTCACGATGTGGCGCAGATTCCCGTTGAGAGATGCCAGTGACAGCAACGGTTTAGGGTTGGGAATAATTATGGTATATGCACGTATGTATGCATGCATGCCTGTATGTACGCATGCTCATTCGTATGCATGTAACTGTATGTGGGAAAAATGGATGCAAGCATGAACGAATGAGTGCGTGAATGAATGAAGGAATGAACGAATTGAAATACATATTCATGCATGAATGTAGCATTGCATAAGGTATAGGTATAGGTATAGGGTTTGAGGTATGAGGTATAGGTATGTTCTACGTACCTATGAATCAACCTGCCGAATATCAATATCAAATCCTCGCAATAAAAGAACATGTATCATATATGTATGTATGTTCAAACGTATGATAAGAAGGTACAGTGCTTATGACCAAGCAATGAGGTTCTCTTGCATTTGTCATCCACCCTTCTGGCTGCACGGACATCTATGGCCAGCAGCCAAAACCCGGGCGGAAATGACCACAAACAACTTGTAGCAGGATATGGAGAACGCTTCACCCCCCGAAGCCCTCATCCTGAAGCCTCGTTACAGCATCCGGGGTTCACGGTTTCTCTTCCTTATTACCCCTTAACGTTAAACCCTAATGGGTAGTATGACTTCGGGAATACTCCATCCTTGACGGGTGTGGCGATTCTATACTTCGATACCCTTGACCTAGGCAGGGTTTGCACCTGCTCGACCCGCTTGCAGCACAGCGTAGCCCATGTTGCAAAGCAGGGCCGCTCCCTCCTTGCAGGGTTCACGGGCTATTGTTACAAGCTTGACTTATAGCATAGCATTGCTAACGTTGCTTGTGTATTTCAATTTGTTTGATTAATGGTTTGGGGCTCCGGGCTTAGAGTTTCCCGAAAAGGTTAGTCGGCTATTGCTGCGAACCTTCTTGCCGGCATCACCAAGAGGCTCGCAAACACATCTGTCCCGCAAGCCCCCGTCAAGTGCGTTGCTTCGCCAGCCAGGCACCAAAACCACATCTACTACCTCGTCTTTGGGCTCAGACCCTTAGAGCGTTTTGCGGGCCCCGTCCAGTGACCATGGTTGCTCGGTTGCCCACAGTTCCCAGAGACTCCAATATCCCTTAATTAAGGAATGTTCCTTAAATCATATAAAGGACCCTACTATAATTTAAGGAATATTCCTTAATTAAGGGATATTGGAGTCTCTGGGTTCAGCGCCCGCGGCGGGGGAAACACGAAATAAAACCTGAAGCGATCATGCGATCCTGTCGCCCGCTCTTGATGTCGCCAAATGTGTAGAAAAAGACGCACGAGTTGAGCGGATTGTTTGCGCACTGTCACTTTCGCAGCCGCAACCCTGCAGCCCTTTCGCCGGGAACGTTTTTATTGGGGACACTGCGTGGGCCGGCGGCCCCAAACGTCGCACATCGACCGCAGAGCCAGCATCGCCGCTAGCGTCGCCCGTTTTTATACTTAAAGCCTGGTCAAGCACTGTTCGTAGCTCGTCAATCTCGTCGTGACCGCTTGCAACAGACAACCCGGCTAAGCACCATGCAACGTGTGTGAAACCACACAGTATTGAAGCAACTAGAAATGCAAAATGAGTGGATTCTTTGCAGCTGAACGATGCAAACTGAAAAAGCAAGGAACACAACTCCACATTCCGTGCAGCGACCTAACCAAAGCCAGCGCGCTAGCATGTCTGTTGGAGCGAGTTCCCGGTTGGTCAGCTTCCGGCGGAAGTCGGCGGGCGTTGGATTTCATTCTGCCGCTGTCGGTGGCACAACGGGTCAACATAAAATATACCTCCGTCCGTCGATCAACGTTCACACTGGGGGAATGCAGCTCGCAGCGCATATCTGATGTTGCAGCGGACTTGGTGGCCTTGTTGTTTAAACGGTATCTGCAAAGTGTAGAGAAACAGGCATGTTGGCAGTAAGCTGAAGCCAGCATTAGCCAGCCAATTGGACTCGATTTTTTCGATGCAGAGTTAAGGGCTGCCGCAGCTTCGGCCACCTTGGCCTTGTCGTATCTCCCCAAGTGGCGGGAACTGCCTAGCCGTACCTGCCAGACTGAGGTCTGGCAGGTTGACGTCCGCCTGTCACGATGTCGTCATTTGAAAGGACCCTCAGTGCCCTACAAAACCGGCGGCCGCGCGCGGTCTCGCTCAGAAAGATCTTATGCTCCTCCAGATAGCAGCGAAGATCGCGTAGGACCCACCGTGGTGGGACGCTTCCCTGGTCTGGTAGGCGTCCACCTTTTGCAGTGCAGCTTCACCGGGGACCAGCTCGAATCGCTCTTTCGCGAAGCCAAGGATCCTGCCGGGCGTGTCTTGCTCCAGAAGACACAGTCCCCGTTCCTCATGGGGTTTCAAGGCCATAGGATGGATCTGGCTGTCCCCTTCAGGGCTGTGCCGACTAAGGGCGGGTGGGCTGGTTCCACAGATGCTGTGACAGCAGCTGCTGCCAAGCTGCGTGACTCTCAATTTCGAACGCCTCCCAGGCCGACCCGGCCGTGCACGTGCCCTTCGCAGGCCAGCCAGTATTTTTTGGCCTGCAAACGGCAGCTCCGGATTTCCAGAGTCTTGCGCCCGCTGAGGAGGTTCTCAGCGATCTCTAGAGAAGAAAGTCGGAGCACTGTGAAATCGGTAGCCCGAAAACCCTTATGTACAAACTAGTGGGTTATGACGCCACAATTTTCAATCTAGGAATTTAAATTAGGGTCTAGAAGTCTAGGATGCTATAACTCGTGAGATCGAGGTAAGTGAGCCACGGGAAAGATTCACAGGGAATGGCTGCTTGCGAGGTTCTGTTGACTCTACTGAACCTTGACCCCTAGTAAAGGTATAATTTTAGCCCTTTCTTAGGGATTAAAGGAACCAAATAAAGATTAAACATGATTTCCAAGCATCTTTAAGTTGCAGGCTTCTGGAGTTCAGTTGCAGGGCTTCCGGTTGAGGATTTCGGGTTGAGGGTTTGATCTTAGGCTGCGGTTTCTCGGTTTCAGGTGTGGTGGTGTAGGGTTTTAAGGTTTCCGGGTTGTACAAGGTTAAGTAGAAGAATACGTCACAGAAACATAAACATAAGAAGAACTATAGGTATATCCATAAAACAAAACAATGACTGACAGCAATAACAACCCCTAGATCCAAGAGTAACCCAGGCATAAAAAGGATGCCCTTTTTGGTTTAAAGGGGCCTATAAGGGAACCTGAACCCTAAAAAAGGAATAAGGGCCTACTCTGGGTCCTAGACCCTTATAATCATTAGTGCTTTGGAGCTTAGGGCTCAAGATGACAAGGCTTCCTAGCATCTCATAGCAGGGATGCTTGGGGTCTTGGAGGACCATTTCTATACAGACTCTCGGAAATATCTGGAAAAGACAACGGCTCCTAAAACAAACTATCTTGACGACCCAGAAGTTGCTGCTGCCGCTGAAACCCTAAACCCCTAAACCCCCAAAACCTAATGACTACTGTCTCTCCAGGGTCCTGTCAAACGTTTCCTGCAAGGGATTTAAATTCAAAAGATTGAAGGGGGTTTAGGGTTTCCTTAAGGGGGCCCTTTCAAGGGGTTTAGGGTTCCCATTTGTCGGGTTCCTTTCAGGGCGTCTTTGTTGTCTGGGGTTCGGGGTTTCGGGCCTGTTTAGGGCTCATTTAGTTTCCTTGTAACTTACGGACTTTCAAAGGATTCCTATAAGTGCTATAAGGTTTCCTTTAACGGCTCCTTTCCCCGGTCCTGTCATGGAAGGCAGGTTTGGGAATAGCCACAAATCGCGCATAGGCTTTAGGGTCACTTGAAGTGTGAGTCTGACATGCCGCTTGGCGGCGTAAAGTTCGGAATTCAAGCTTGGGGAAGGTTCCATGCTCACAGCTTCGGGTGAAACTAAACCTTAAAGCACTAAACCCTGGGGTGGTTGGAGTCACACAGACGTGCAGCTTCCAGAAGTGCAGCTTCCAGATTATCGTTAGTGGATTTTGTCATTGCAGACAATTCAGTCACGCGATCTCTTGATTATTGTTTGTGCTAGTACCAATATTACTACTGTGCTTGCGACTATTAGTAGGGATAATGTTTCGTAACATACGATTCATGGCACTAACAGAAAACCTAATCTACGAGTTGCCAAAAACCACCTGTCCCAAACGGCGGTCCTCTGTGTCCATCAAGCCCTGCCTCTTGTAGGCTTCGCGGGCATCGCCTGGGCATCGGATGTGCCTATTAGAGAGTCTAGATTTTGAGCTCGTTATGGGTGCAACATGGGATTCCCTAAACCCTAAACCCCTAACCCCTAAACCCTAATGAAGCTTCCCAAACCAAGGTAGGCAAGGGAATCCAAAAAGAGTTCCGCTACCCTGCGCGGTGCTTCGCCCCAACCTTCTGCATCCATAAAGGCACACTTACGTCGTATTCAGGTTTTGCCTTATGGCTTAGCTATATAGTGCCCTAGACCCGAAACTTTACCCGTTGAGAGCGTGCCGCTGGCTTCAGCGGTTTGTGCCTGGGGAACATGCTGAACCCGAAACCACTCAGTTCGGGTTTAGGGTTGGCATCCCTGGATCCTTCACCCAAGTGCAAAGCCTTACTGATACAAATCCCAAACTTGGCATCCGACAGAGCATTGGTCTCACTGTTTACATGATCCCACCGACTCCAACATCCCTTCATCACGGATCGCCCCTTGGAGAGGTCGAGTTCGAAGAACATCCTCTTGGGGCTCGGACTTCTCCGAACGGTTTAGGGTTTAGGGTTTAGGATTTAGGGTTTAGGGTGTTACTTCCTACAAAGCGGCGCCCCGAAACCGTGATTCAGAGCGCAAGGCTGGTGGCTCAGGATTCTACTTGGAGGTTCATGGGACTTAGCAAGTAAGGTTATAAGTACCTTTTACTTGGGTTATAAGTAATTATAAGTATGGTTACCCTATATATATATATATATATATATATATATATATCCCTAGTTACTAAGTCCCATGATCCTTTAAGTACTCCCCAAGCTAGCTAAAGTTGGGGTTTAAGGTGTAGGATTTGGGGCTCAGGGTTTAGGGAGTTTAGGCATCCAGGAACCCCAAGGGTGTCCCCACTGTTTCAGACGGTGCTTCTCTTGCCAGATCAGCAACTACCTTTTTGGAAAAACCTTCCAGCCTACTTAGAGGTTGGTTACAATTCAGGTAACTATACTTATAACTAGTTATATCCCCATACTAAGTCCCATGAACCTCCAAGTAGAAGCCCTGAAATAGTTGGGCTTCTGGGGTTTGGGGTAAATGGTTTAGAGCATAGCGCTCCTGACTCGCCACATGGGAGTTTCCGAAAATTAGGGGTACCTTATTTTGGGGTCCTACGATTTACGGTGCTATATCCGGGTCCCTGTTTTCGGAAACTCCCATATAGATGATTTCAGCAATTGAGACACCCTCATCTGAAGACTAGGGCGGCTAGGTAGTAAGATCCTTCCTAGAAAGTGCGATTAGCCTTACCTTATATGTGTTGAAAACTTCCCTAAAAGCCGCTGAATCCTAAACCTGCTAAACCCCATATACTCTGCAAGCCCTACCCTAAACAGCAAATCTAAACCTTGTACCTGCTAAGACTTAGTCCGGCACCAAAAGCTTGCATCGCGGCATCGAAGTCGCCCATGCGACCATAAGTGGCCCCGAGACCTGGGTACAGCTTTCAGGTCCCGATTAAAATCTCAAAACTCCAAGCCCCTAAACTCTAAACTCAAACCCCCAAAAAACCCTAAACCCCTAAACCCCGCAACCTCAAAACTCTAAACCCTAAACCCCTGACCTCTAAACTCCGAACCCTAACCCCCAGACAGCGGAACCACCCAAAAACTCTGAACCCGACAACCACGAAACTCTTACCCCTAAACTCCTGACCCCTAAACTCCAACGCTAAACCCCTAAATCCTAAACTCCGGGTTCAAAGGCTCTGGAGCCCTTGGGCTCGAGCCTTGCGTGGGTTTAACAGCGCCGGTTGAAGGCTTGAATCTTGAAGTGGTGTAAACCCAGTGACTCCAATATCCATTAATTAAGGAATATACCCAAGGGTTCGTTAGAGGGATCCTAAGGGTTTCTTTCAGGGAATTAAGGAATATACCTCACAGTAAATTCTAGTAGATACCTAGTTTAATGATGGGGTATTGGAGTCTCTGTGCAGTGTGAGCGGGTTAATCGCATGCCAGGGCCGAGGGATACGCTACTTCCGAGTCTTGCAGTTGGCTGAGGTTTCCACGGGCAAGGTGGGAAAGTTTCAAACGAGGAGGAAGCACGAATCAAGAACGTCATTACCCTGCCCCCTACCCTCCCCTCCCCTCACCTCCCCCGAACCTGCCGCCCCACCCCCCCACTTCCACTCCCGGGGCTGGGCGCTGGACCGGCGCGGGGCGAAATGCTTACAACAAGGCTTAGGGTATACTCGTTTATGTTCACCTGACCACAAAGCCTATGTTGAGAATCAGGTTTAGGGTTCACGCGTTTTAGGGATTGAGGGTGTGGAGTTTTATTGACGCGTTATAGGGATTGAGGGTGTAGGGCTTAAATTTTGTCGTTTTCCAGGGGGTGCTTGTGACCGGATCCTACTGAATGGTAAATTTAGGTGTCCTGAAAATGAAAAGCTACCATGCGTCGATATATGGTTGCCTCAACGGCGAGGGTTTAGGATCTGGGGTTTACGGTTTGTATCACATGATCTGGAAAACATGTTTGTGTGTGCTTTCTGTGAATATCTGAGCCCATGGCTCATCAGGACATGCGCGCCTTGGGCGGTCAGCAGCGTTCCGTTCTCCTGGTCGGGACACCAAGAACACACCGTCTCACTACATCGCCTCAAAGATACAAGTCGAAGCCATCTGAAAACACGTTGGTACCTGACCCTAAACCCCAAACAGTAATCGTAAGCCCTTAACCTTAACCCCAAAGCGTCTCAACATTCAACAAGCCTAGGTTTGTTGGGGTCTAAACCGATGCAGGCGGTTCGGGCCGCCCGAGCGAGTCCCAAGCATCTAATACCACAATGGTGCTTCGAGGCTTGTTTTCGTGGAGAGCATCTCATTACTAGTTGCTGGGACACTTAGGCTTAGGTTCATGGTTGCGGCCGGCCTAGAGCAAAACCCTAAACCCGAAACCCTAAGCCCTGAGCCCTAAAGCCCTAAACCAAAACTACGTGCAGGGCATCCAGCTGCCTATCTCGTGCTTCAGGCTGAAATGTAGGGCTCAGCACATCTTGCTGCCGTTGTTGATCATTATAGAGACGGTTTAGGGTTTAAGCCTTCATCGGCAATATACACTAAACCCTAAGCCCTAAACCCCTAAACCGTCGCGCCATCGGCGTCATCATTGCCATGTCACCCTGGCGATTGGCCCACTTTCATGATCGTCATCCCTTAACCAAAACCCTAATCTTACCTTTGGTTAGTAAGGAATGGAGGAATGGGGTACAAGTATAACGACTATTACTACCATTCTTCCCTTCCCTACTGACCAAAGGTAAGTAAATTCTCCTACATCCCTTAACCAAAACCCTAAATCCCTAAAACCCCTCACCCCAAGGCCCTAAATCCCCAAATCCCAAAACCCCTTCGAGCCGGGCTTCGAGTTTCCCGTGTTCGGACTCCACTAGGGCTTCAGGTTTAGGTTTTAGGAGCCTAGAGAAAACCCTGAATGCCACCAACAAATACACAAGAACGAAGTCCTCGAAGCAACTCCATCCATCTTAGATCACAGGGATTCTGAAGAGCACAGGGGCTGGCAAACAAGAATTCCGCATCATGAAATGCCATGCCGCGTGTGACTCTGTGATCGCAAATTCCGGAAATATGATCCATGCCTTTCAGACATGAAAAAAATCTAGGGGTGTTAATAATTGGAATAGGGTCTTGGGAACCATCATACCATAAGTATAATAATAAGGAAATCCCCAAAATAGTCAAAACCGTATTGGTAATTATTTAGGCCCCTATATCCTAAACCCTAAACCCTATAGATCCCTTAAAGGAGCCCTTAAAGATCCTTTTAAAGGTGGCCCCTATGCAGCTTCCCGATATTTTGCTTCCCACCACCCAGGCCCGAGCCGACCGCGACAAAATATGAGTGGTTGTCAAAATGTTGGTCCCTTTTGGGGTCCTTACTTGGAGGTTCATGGGACTTAGTAACTACAGTTATAAGTACCTTAACTGGGGTTATAACTACTTATAAGTCTAGTTATCTTATTTATAACCCTAGTTACTAAGTCCCACGATCCTTTAAGTAATATTAACGGACATCAGTCGGTCGTTTGCATGAAGCACTCATTGGTGCACGTGAAACATGAATGGAAACAAACAACTTTTTGGGGTCCTTAATATAATCCGGCACCTAATAGTTAAGGTACCCAAAAAGGGCCCCTATTTTTGACAACTACCCATATGAAGGAGAGCGCTCGAGTGGCGCACCAGCCCTTAGTATGTTATAGAATATCATGACACAATTTAGGGTTTAAACCCTAAGGGACTCTACAAGTACGTCTTAACCCCAAACCCTAAGACTCTAAATCCAACACCTTATTCTAGGATGCCCAGTAACCTAGGAACAAAAAGGGCTCTCTTTTTGGTATTGGGTACCTTTATAAGGAACCTAGAACTACAAAATAACAACAAGGGTATTACTCGGCATCCGAGTAACTATACTGAATTTCGAACCCTAGCAAAAATTATAATTTTAGCTGTTTCTTAGGGATTATCATAGCCAAAGATTTAAAAATATTTCTAAGTACCCCTAAGGTAAAAAAATATTTCTAAGTACCCCTAAGGTAAACCAACAAGCCTCACTGAAACCCTCTTCGACTTGAAGCTCCTCGTGCTCACGTCGCTGGGCTTCCAACTCGGCCAATGCTTTTGCCTCGACTGTCTTCTTCAATAATTGGTTCAGATATAACATATTCTATATTATTTCTATGACTATTATAAATGGCTCGAAAAAGCGGCTTTTAGGGTTTAGGGGCTTAGGGTTTAGGGGCTTTTGGAATTCAGGGCCTATGACACCCCCTACAGGAACCCCCAAACACACGAAGCACTAAACCGCAAGCCCTAGACAAACGGTCTCAAAAAACAAAAGCAATGACCTGCAAGCAAGGGCAGTCAGGCGGCTGTCGCAGGATCCGCGTTGCGGTGCCTCGTCACACATGGGAGTGTTGGGTTCAGGGGTGTATGTATTTATGTAACACTGCACGTTCGAGCGTCCCCTGCCGGGAAGTTGAAACCGGGAAGCTCTCGTTGGAGTCGAGGCAAGGGTTTAGGGCTCCGGGTCGCACGCCGTTCAGGGTTTAGGATTCCGAGCTTTAGTGTTTGCGTAGCGTGTAGGGTTTGCCTTAACCCTGAAGGACCTACCTTTTCAAGGACTTATATAGGAAATCATGATAAGGAACCCTGAAAACGTAGGTTATTCAGGGTTAAGGTAGGGCTTAGTGGAAGCCACTCAATGTTGAAAACAACAAACCGCTGCCAAATGTACGGGGCGTCAACTACATGTAGCTGGTGACCATCCGAACAGTTTTCCATGCATACTCGTCATAGTAGCAACTAGAATCATCATTATAGTCTACATCACCTCTCAACCATGACAGTAAGGGCTTAGGGTTTAGGGTGTAGCCCACTTACGAAACTGTAAACAAAACCTGAAGAGCAGCATCGCCGTATCCACAAGGCTCCTCATTACGAGCATCCCCCAAAAATCGCTCGCAGTGTCAAAAAGTAGATACGGTTTAGGCTAAGGGTTTAGGGTTTAGGGGTTAGGGTTTAGGGTTGAACCAAACCCAAACCTTCAACCCTAAACCATTGTCAGAGTTCACCTTTTCGGCCGGGGAGTCGTTGATCGGATTTGAAAGCCTTTTTGGGTACTTACGTTCAACCCCAAACCATGAAAGCCTTAACGCCCCAAGCGGCATAAACCCCACCACATATGAAATTTAAATCGCTTACAGAATGCTTCTGGCTGCAACCCATAATGCCCAAACGCCTAAATAGTAGGGTTTTGTGTCCCTCATTCTATACTCTGAATGGTTTTTAGTAAATCCGACTGTAATGTATCATAAACCATTCAGAGTACAGACAGAATAAGGGACACAAAACCCAGACCTTCCAATTCTACACTCTGAACGGGCTTCGGTGCCTAAACTCAACAATCTTACAATTCGGGTACTTGGATCTTTAGGGCAATGGAAAATCTACTAACCCGACACTTTAAAACCTAAGCACCCTAACCCCTAAACCCTAAACACCCTAAACCCTGAGCACCCTAGACCCTAAACGATCCATAGATTCCTTAAAGGAGCCCCTTAAAGGAACCCTAAACCCTGAACTAAGGCCCCCGACCCACTCGGCGAAGCGTTGTTTGTGGAAGGGGTCGCATTGGCCAGGGAGGCCTCGCACAGAAATCGTGCTTTTTCGGGGGTTTAGGGCTGTAGGGGTTTAGGGTTTAGGGCTTTAGGGGTTTTTCGAGTTTGGGGCTGTAGTGGTTAAAGTTTAGGGGTTTAGGTTTTAGGGTTTTAGGGGTTTAGGGCTCTAGGGGTTTTTAGGGTTTGGGGCTGTAGTGGTTTAGGGTTTAGGGCTTTAGGGGTTTCGGGTTTGGGGCTGTAGTGGTTTAGGGTTTCGGGGTTTAGGGGTTTTAGGGGTTTAGGCTTTAGGGGTTTAGGTTTTAGGGCTTTAGGGGTTTAGGGTTTAGGGCTGTAGGGGTTTAGGGTTTAGGGCTGTAGGGGTTTAGCGCTGCAGGGTTTAAGGCTTCAGGGTTTAGGGTTAAGGGCTTTGGGGTTTGAGGTTTTAGCGTTTAGGGTTTGAGGGTTTAGGGTTCAGCAGCTCTGATTTTGAAGATTTCACGTCAAGCTCATTTTAGTCAAGCTATCTTCAAGAAGAAACCCCACCCGCCCAGAGAATCCCCTCACATTAGAATTAAAAGTTTTATTTCTTTTGGCATGAATTATTAACAGACATCGTCGATTCTCAATCCAAGCTTACTGCAACCACAAGAGAAGCTATACTTGTTTCAATCGGACTGCTTGTCGTGACTACCCCCCAATAAGCGACGCTCATGCTCTTGGCTTTCCTCGGACTGCTTGTCGTGACTACCCCCCATAAGCGACGCTCATGCTCTTGGTTTTCCTCGGACTGCTTGTCGTGACTACCCCCCAATAAGCGACGCTCATGCTCTTGGCTTTCCTCGGACTGCTTGTCGTGACTACCCCCCATAAGCGACGCTCATGCTCTTGGTTTTCCTCGGACTGCTTGTCGTGACTACCCCCCAATAAGCGATGCTCATGCTCTTGGCTTTCCTCGCACAGGTTGTCGTGACTGCCCCCCAATAATAAGCGACGTTCATGCTCTTATAAACACTGTGGCCCTAAACCCGAGCCGACGCCCACCCCACCCTCGACCAACCTTCCAGTGAAAGGAGCGGTAATCCTAAGCCCTAAACCCCAGGGCCCAAACCCTAGGCCCTAAACCCTAGGGCCCAAACCCTAAACCCCTAAACCCCAGTGCCCCGAGGCCCCTAAACACTGGAAAAATCAATTAGCCACGAAGGTCATTAGGGTTTAAATTACTATATGGTAGAGAGGTTAAGGGTTCTATGCTTGAAGGTGCATGAGACTTAGTAAGTACAACTGTAAGCCTTGCCTGGGTTTTTTCAATTATATGCATAGTTACCATATGTGTATATATATATATATATAACACTAGCAACTAACCCTCACGAAACTGCAAGTGGGGTTTAGGCTTTAGGGTTCAGGGCTCTAGCTTTCAATTTTCTCTGAACGTTCTTAAACCCCTACTTCCCAGGTCCTTGGAACGCTGCATCAAGACGCTTAAAGGCCCGTAAACGGAAGTCTTTTGGAAACCACTGCAGGAATCCCTACGCATGGCCCGAAACCTTTCAACATGAAGTGCAAACATGACTGAACTGGCTTGAGGTCGCTCTGAAACCCTATACTACCCTAAACCCTAAATTCTAAATGCAAAGCCCTAAACCCGGAACTCCGATCCCTGCAAGCCCCTTTAAAGCAAACACAACCCTACTATAGCCCGATACAGGCCCCTGTAAAGCTTCCCAAACCGCTTCAGGATCCCATGAATTCCCACGAAAAAACTTGACTAAACCCATCGGAGGCCCAAAAAACTCTTATTGCACCTGCAACTTGAAGATGGCTTCATCCTCGGATCAACATATGGATGGTTGTCAAAATTATGGTCCCTTTTTGGGTCCCTATTATAGTACAGCACCTAATATTTACGGTACCCAAAAAGGGGCCATACTGTTGACAAGCACCCATATGGACCCTACAGGCGGGATTAGAATAGACACTTTTTAGATTTCTTGTTTAATGGCTTTTGTCTGTAAGTTAATGTTGCAAGGCTGCCGGGCTTTGTGAGGCAATTAAATGACTAGCATAGGGTTACGGTTAAGGGTATATCAATCGAAGTACAAATACATGAGGACCAGAAGGGGATGCTACTTCGAACTACCCAGCCCTCTATTGTCCATATTGAAAGCTGTAATAAAGTACTACTACTGCTGTGCTGATGGTACTTACCGACATTCACCCTAATCGCTATAAATCCGGTTGAGGGTTAAGGGTTTAGGGTAAACCCGAAACCCTAAACTCTAAACCATAAACCCCGAGCCTAATCAAGCCGTTTCATCAGCCCAGACCCTCGACCAAAAAGAGTCTTTGACTTCATGGCTGTGCTTGGAGGTTCATGGGACTTAGTAACTATGGTCTTAAGTAAGGTAACTGTACTTATAACTAGTTATAACCCTTAGAGGTTCATGGGACTTAGTAACTATCGTTTTAAGTAAGGTAACTGTACTTATAACTAGTTATAACCCCAGATAAGGTACTTATAACTGTAGTTACTAAGTCCGGTCCTGTGGAATTGTCAGCTGCTCTGCAAAATGCCAAGTCCAAAAGCCAAACACTCAGAGCGATCGGGACGTAGTCCTTTAGCTGTCGCAATGGTGAGCATCCTAAGCGTACATCGAATGGATAGTAGCAGTAGCAGCCCCACGACAGCACAACGTATCAACGAGCAGCTTATCGAAACACGATATCCAGAGAAGCCGTCTTTTCCATTGTGTGTTTTCGGCACCATTACTTAGCTGCCTGACTTTGTGAATCCCAGACCCGAAAACAAGACAAACCCAAACCTCTCGTCAACCTGATTCCCCACAGGTTAAGGGTTTAGGGATTTCGGGTTCGTTTAGGGGTTTAGGGCCTAAAGGGTTTGGAGGTTAGGAAAAAAACACGGCCAATCGAGGATACTCCAGGTCTACACGCGAATCTCAACGTTGCTAACTGCACTGAGACGACGACGATAAGCCTCTGTGTCGATTCGGAGGGACTCTCGCACACACGTTGACGATATCTAGGATCTTGAAAACACGACTTTAAACAAAATTACCCTAAACGCGCACGAACCCTAAACCCTAAAGGGACCCTGGCGTGGGCGATTACTGCTGACAAGCAACTCTGACAACCTACGCACATCCCAGAGCAGACAGGGATCTCGTGCTGTGGGGGTAGCCATATAGGGACTACATCGTGCTGTATAGTATTAAACCGTGTCATATTACACTGTATTGTATTGTATCATGGTATACTATGTTAGACGGGAGAAAGGTTTCTGACTGTCAAGACACCTATATATCATACCATCCCCCTAAACCCTAAACCATAGTGACAGATGCCAAGCGTCTACCTCCTGTGCTCGTGCAGCATGCCTTAACGGCCGGGAACGACAGAGTTGAACTTACGGGCTGAGTTCCCTAGCCCAATAAAGGTCTAGGGGTTTAGGGGTTTGGGGGTTTAGGGTTTAGACTTTTAAGTTGCAGAATCTTCTTATAGAAGTCCCCAAAAGGTTAAAGGTTACCTGCTCCGCTCCTAAGGGTAGGGAGGGCGAGTTGGTGTTTAGGCTGCCGAAGATCTCCAAACCGTGCTGGGGCTTCGGGGTTGGAGACAAACGACTTAGAATAGAGAGCGTTTACAGATTTACGGTTTAAGGGTCCAGAGAGCCTAGAAGCTAGGCATTCAGGTTTAGGATGGTAGGTTTGGAGGTAAGTACTTGGGAGGGTGCAGAGCCTAAATCCCACACTCCAAACCCTTCGGAACCTTCTAGAACCTTACAGAACCCGCATACAAGCCTTTTAAAGACACCCTTTGCAACCCTTATGCAGCCCGGACCTAACCCCAACTTCTACGTTCTCCGTGGAAAGGTAAGCGATTGATTTTTCATGTCTGGATATCGCGATAAAAGAAACAAAGTGAGATAATCGAATAAAACAGAAACTAAGAATAACAAATACCCAAGATCCTCAGAGTTGGAGAACTGGTAGAAAACCATTGACCCTACTTGATGCCTCCAAAAAGATCCGACAACCCTAAACCCGGCCTAAAGGTTTGGGTTTACGGTTTTATGCTTTAGGGTTCCAGCAGAGAGTGCTCTCGGCCAACAAACGCCACCAGATCCTGGGCGTGGGTGGTGGCCACTTGAAATCAAAACCCCTTTGCATCATCCGGTTTAGGGTTTAGGGTTTAGAACCCGTTCCGGTCCTTCCAGCCGCGGCCGCTTCGAGGCCTGCAAAGCGTTCGCTCGACGGGCTGCCTCGGCGATGACCTCACCTCTTCTTCCGACCCCAGCTGTAAGATGAAGCCGCGAGCACACCAGGTTTGCACAATCCAAAGGTGCTGTTGCAAAACCTACTAAAATAACTGTGTCCTAACCAGGCCCTCCTGAAAAAAAACAAAACCCGCGTTCCAGATGGCTCCATACTACACCTCCAGAGCCTTTCAGCACACACACACACACACACACACAAAAAAAAAGTTCTACATCCACACAGCTACTTCAATAGCCTTCAAACCTCAAGCACAACAACACGGAAAACTTAAAACCTCAACTTACATCCTCGCGGCGACAGCTTGCATGCTGAACTTTAAAGTCTATGTACATCCTGCACCTTACACCCTGGGTCCTACAACCTATGGTTCATATAGACCCCTTATTCTGGGATCCCTCAACAGAAAGACAGACCCTCTTCCAACAACAACCTGACCACGCTGATCTTAAATCCTGAACCTATATCCTAATCTCGAAATTCCAAGGTCCTGCCGCTTAACTTCATTTCTCTGATCAGGTAAGCTCTCAATATAGAGCCTACTAGTTTTAGGAGATCCCTGTAACAACAAAAGGAAACAAAAATCCAACATGGCAGAAACGACAAGTGCTCCAAAGAGCCCTTAGAGTGTAGAAAACCTTGCCAGCCCGAGGTAGCCAAGGTACCTTTAAAAGGGAAGTGTACCTATGTTTCCAGGTCATACCCATTCTTGTAAAGTATATCCTATATAACAAGCGGAAATGTACCTCCTTTTTTAAGGTCATATCCTTTTGTCTCAAATACATTTGTTACTCTAGAAAACCCTAAAAGGAACCCCTTAGTAACCCATCCTTACTTGTAAGGTACATTGGCTACTCTGGGAAACCCTAAACGGAACCCCTTGCAGTAGTAACCCATGGGTGTCCGGTCTCGCAAACCAGGCCTCTGGCGACAGAGGAGGCTGAGGTTGGTGCGTTCCGTCTCCCTCGTAGAACTGCTGAAGATCTTGAAGCACCTGGTTTGCGGTTTGCGGACAACCCGATCTTTACGAAAAGCCGAGGGCGAAGGCGATTTAACGGTTGCAGGATCCTCAAGGGGGTAAGACCTACCTTCAATGAAATTTACGACTGTCCGAAGCAGTCAATCGATGTTTCTATGCCCATTATTCTGTGCATGACCCTTGGACACATGACAGACAAGTCTTGCGCCTTTCATCTGCACTTAAGCGCTTGTCTGCTGCAGCTGTAACAGCCAGTAGTACTAGGATACCCAGTAACCCAAGAATAAAAAGGCCTCTCTTTTTGGTATTGGGTAACTTTATAAGGAACCTAGGACTACAAAAAGGGAATAAGGGTACTACTGGGCATCCTAGAGTAATGCAACGGGCGCCACCACGTGGCACATCGCCTCCTGGGGCAATTGCTGCTATCCCATCTTGGCTTGACGTACAGTAGAAGCCAGAAAGTTGGAACACCAGTAGCCTCATACCCTTAAGGTAAAGTAGAGGGAATCCTAGCACTGATCGTCCTAAACTCATGTTCCAACTTTCTGGGGTTCACTATAACTGACATGTTTCACTGCCACCTGTACGAGTGCCCAGGCCCAGGCGTAGAGTCCGCGACAACTTTCTGCAGCCAGAGGAAGTTGCATTACCATTCCCAACTGTTGGTGATATTTGGTATCACCCCGGTCATGTCGCTGTCCTTGACGAGAATGCCCTCGACCGCGTCGAACGACTGAGTAAGCTGCGTCGTCGTATGGAGGATGTGGCATGGGTCTTTCATGATGAAGGCGCACTTGGGGCATTCCGTTTCCGCAGCAGGCGGGCCGCTTTCAGTATAGGGTTGAAGGGTCAAGGTGTAGGGTCCATAAGGGTCTTTGAAAGGCTTTATGTGGGTTTTGTGGAGTTGTTACGGATTTTCGTTTTATGGGGGTTAAAGGATTCCATGGTAGACTTAAGGTTTCGGGTCTGAAGTTTAAGCCATAAACCCTAACCCTAAACTTCAAACACGAAGTCCCATAGCACCCTTGCAGAACCCTCAAAAGAACAACCCTTATCGTGACTCGAACGCACCCTTGCAGAGCCCTCAAAGCACCACTTATAGCAAGCCATATAATTATACAGCACACTCAGAGGAACACTTATGGTAACCTTGGTAGGACCCTTGATAGTACCACGTGCAGCAAGGCCAAAAGTAAGTAACCAATATAGACTTGCAGTGCCACACTGAAAGTATACCCTTATAATCCTTGTAGTAATCCCCAAACTCTAAACCCCAAACAAACCCTAAGAACCCTCAAAGGAGCTGTGCAGGCTGTGCAGTCATCACTGTGCCACTCCAACGACAAGGTTCTCAAGGCTTAGGCCGCCCACCGCCGCGGGTGGGCGGCGCTTAAGCCCCTCGACCTCGATGGGGCAGAGTGCCCGCCTCCCACATGGCTACTCTGGCCCTGATTCCCTCCCTCCTCTCCTGGCTCCCCCCGGCCCGCCTGGCCCCTGCCCTGCCCGGCGTGGGGTGGGAAAGAAACGGAAACAACCTTCTACAGACAGGCTTTCGCAACTCGTTGGACGCACTCGAGTCGCAAGATACGATCGCCCACGCGCTAATTATTCCACGGCACACCCAAATCCAAAGCCCTAAACCCAAAGCCCTAAACCCTAAAACCCTAAAGCCCTAAACCGCTAAACCCTAAACCCCTAAACCCTACACCCTAACCCCCTAAACCCTAAACCCCTCAACCCCTAAACCCTAGCCCTAAACCCCTAAACCCCTATTAACCCTAAACCCTAACCCCCTAACGCCCTAAACCCCAAAGCCTAAACCCCTCTACGAAGGAACCCCTAGACCCAAGAGTAACCTAGGAATAAAAAGGGTGCCCTTTTTGGGATAAAGGGGGTTATAAGGGAACCTAAACCCTTAAAAAGGGAATAAGGGCCTACTCTGGGTCCTAGACCCTCAAAGCCTCCAGGGCTCCCTCCGGCTCCCCGGCGCGCTCGTGGGCGGCCGCGAGGCTCCTGGAGGCTCTCGGCGCGTTGTTCTGAGGGTTTGGGGTTGAGGGTTTAGGGGTTTATGTAGGGGTTTAGGGGTTTAGGAGTTTAGGGTTTCAGGTTTCGGGTTTTGGGGTTTAGGGGTTTAGGAGTTTAGGAGTTGAGGGTTTAGGGTTTAGCAGTTTAGGAGTGTGGGGTTTGGGGGTTTCGGAGTTTAAGGTTTAGAGTTTAAGGTTTGGGGGTTTATGTAGGGGTTTAAGGGTTTAGAAGGTTTCGGGGTTTGGGGTTTAGGGGTTTAGGGGTTTAGGGGTTTAGGAGTTTAAGAGTTTAGGGGTTTAGGGGTTTAGGAATTTAGGGTTTAGGGGTTTAGGAGTTTAGGGTTGAGGGGTTTCGGGTTTTAGGGTTTCGGGGGTTTGGGATTGAGGGGCTTAGGGTTTTAGGGTTTAGGGGTTTAGGGTTTAGGGTTTGGGGTTGAGGGGTTTAGGGTTTGGGGTTGAGGGGTTTAGGTTTTAGAGTTTTCTCTAGAGGTTTCTTATGGTGTTTATGGGGTGTTTGTATTGTTCGTAGGGAAGTTATGCTTTGTGTCGCCGTTTTCGGTTTTTGGATGGGCCCTATAGTGGTTACGACTGATAATTTCGTAAGAGCTCCATAAGGTCCATGAGGGCTATCGCTAATTCGGGATGCCAACTTAACTCAGAAATTCTGGAGCGTCCCAAGGCCCTAAATCCTGAGGAACCCCAGATCCTCTCCTCTACACCTCTAACATTCGGGCTTGTACGGTTCTGTAAGAGTTTTATAGGTTGCTAGACCCGCGTCTAATTAGGAATTGTATAGGGTACTATACAAGGCCTGTAGATGCCTTTAAAGGGTTGGATATAGAGGTCTAAATAAGTAGACCAGGGCTTTGGAGGGAACTTGCGAAAAAGAACGACACTGCGATAAGGAACCCTGCCGAATACCAGTATAGATACGTTGACGACTCAACGACCTATGAAGAACTTCTGTAATAACCATAAAACACCTTAGGAAATACTATCGTAGATCTAATCCTAAACCCTAAACCCTAAATCCTAAACCTAATAAGGAATACTCCCCTTAGTTACTTAGACTGGATGTTAGAAACCTCCGAGCAGGCAATTCGCACTCAAGAGCCGTAACTCGGGTGGTACATGAGGTAACTACCCATAGGCCCCAAAGCAGTTCCTTTTTGGGATTGGAACTACTTTAGGGCCTTAGGGTAGACTTGTAATTGCTTATAACTGCAGCTACGGTTCCTATAAGTGTAGTTACTAAGTCCCATGACCTTCCAAGTAAAGGGCTTACAGGCTTACGGGTATAGCATTTGGGGTGTCGCGGCTTTAGGGTTGTCGGGTTTCTTAATCAAGTCCTTCAAAGTCAAAGCATCTTACTTTAAGTCCCAATGGTCACTCAAACATTATGCAAGAAAGGCTTTGGAATCCCTGGATGAATCATACAGGACAAGATCCTGAGAAAGGAAGACCTCAATGCTCTTTGTCGGTGAAGCTATGAAGTTAAGCATTGACGTGTGCTGTGCAAAGCATGGCCTTCACTCAAAGCACCAATTTCACTAGCACCTCATGTAGAACCATTCTGAACTAACCCTAAACCCTAACCCCTAAACCCTAAACCCCTAACCCAGGCTCTGAACCCTAAGAGCAAGCCAAAGCCCTTAAGCCCGAGCTCCTCAACACCTGTGCAACCCCGAGTCCAAAAGCACGAGCAGACTAAAAAACACGGTTGAGTGATGACGTCTTTTGCCGCAAGGGTTCACGTCACCTACAAACTGTAAAATCAACCCCAATCCTTTAACTCAATCCTTTAACTGCCCTAGGACCACAAAACCTAAATCCTCGGTTCCACATCCTGCGTGTGCGAAGGCCCTCGAGGCTTTGGGAAGCGCCAAGCTTCGCTTCAATCGCAATGGCCTAGGATTCAGGGATAGGGTTTTATGTTTAGGGTGAAGTGTGTGTAAGGGCTTGAGTGTTCAACTCAGGGAAACAAGCCGTACGCAGATACAGCTTCTGTAAACGACTGAGGCATTTTGGGGAATACAAAGCCAAAGCCCTAAGGCCCTAGGATGTAGAGAAGCAGGATGATCCTAGAACATATTATAGCAGCAGCAGCAGGAGGAGTAGTAGTAGTAGTAGTAGGAGTAGGAGTAGGAGTAGGAGTAGGAGGAGCAGCAGCAGCAGGAGGAGGAGGAGGAGGAGTAGTAGTACTAATAGTGGTAAAAGTAGTACTAGTAGTAATGGTAATAGTAGTAGTGGTAGTAGCAGTAGTAGCAGTAGTAGTAGTAATAACAATAATAATACATGTTGTTGTTGTAGTAGTTACCAGTACTGCCAGGACTGGCCAAAGGAGAGCGCAGGAATTGTGAAATAAGAAGCTCGTTGTCTTTCAAGCAAGGTGTATGTGGGGAGTACCAATAACACTACCAGCACCACCACCAGCGCCACCAGCACCAGGACCATCACCAGTACCACTACTACTACTACTACTACTACTACTACTGCTGCTACTACTACTACTACTACTACTACTACTACTACTACTACTACTACTACTACTACTACTACTCCGGCTACTTTTACCTCGACTATTACTTCTACTTTTACTTTTACGTTTACTTCTACTTCTGCTCCTACCTTTTCGTACTATACGTACTACGCTACTACTACTACTACTACTACTACTACTACTACTACTACTACTACTACTACTACTACTACTACTACTCCTACGACGGCGACTACTACTACTACTACTACTACTACTACTACTACTACTACTACTACTACTACTCCTACTCCTACGACGACGACTACTACTACTACTACGACTACCACTGCCACTGCCACAGCCACAGCCGCAGCCGCTGCCACTGCCACTTCCACGACCGCCACCACGACGACGACTACTACTACTATGCTCCTGTTGCTAATGTCGGCTGTACAATCCCCAACGCTGCTATAAGTATCCTATTTATTATTGTGCAGTTATCAACACAAACTGTCATCATGGTGCTTAGTTACTTCGTCGGATACGGAACCTGCGCTAGTGGCAACAAATGTCGACCCCAATCTGTTGCCTGTAGCATCAGTGTTGAGAGTGGCTTGAAGCAAAGTCTCTGCAGCAGCTTACATACACCCGCTTGTGCTGTCAGGCTGTAGAATCACTGTAGATGGCAACAAGACAGCAGATATCCAACAGGTTGGCCCTGAGAGCCGGGAGTCACCTTTTGAAAGCCTCAGCGACAGCCCGAGAACCATCGGAAAACCATCTACCCTCACCAGATCCCAGTTTGCGCCTGCCGCAAATCTCGCAGCTCACCGGCAATGTCGCCGCATTCGCTTCGAAGTGCGGCGAGGTCTTTAAGCCTGAGGGGTAGACTTTGCTTTGCACATCAGGTTTAGCTCGTGGGAGTTGGGCTTTGGGGCTTAAAATTGGGGTTTCCTGCGATGTTAGGGGCTAACATACCCCGTGAATCCCCAAACCCATAGATCCTGAACCCTTAACCTGGAACCCGAAACCTCTAAACTCCTCAACTTCATAGACCCGAAAAAAAACGAACCCTTGAATGAAGGGAACCTTTAAAGCGACCCGACCGACGGTGTAAAACCTGAAACACAAACCCTCGCCCAGTATATCTGAACCCCTGAACCCCCCCCAAACCACTAAACAACATAAACCCTGAACCCTAAAACTCCTGACCCCCTAAACCCCAAAGCTCCTACATCCTAAGCCCAATAAACCCCTAAACCCCTAAACCCCGAAATCCCGAAACCCCCTGAAGCTCCAAGCCCTTAGACCGTCTAAACCTCAAAAAGCTTATTACCCAAGAAAAGGAACTACAATGGAGACTATACGTAGGTGGGTACGATTTCGGGGTTCAGGGTATACCCCGGGTAAACCCCGGACCCAGGTCCCTCCCCGATCCGAGGGCCGCGCAGCGAAGCGCCCTCCAGACTCTCCAAGCCTCAGCGTAATCGGATATCAGGATCTTGTATTCTTTTTGTTATGATTTTTATTACTATAACTAGTGAGACATTGTTGTTATCATTCTTATCATTCTTACTCTTATTGTTCTTATGAACCTTATATTCTTCTTACTCTTATTTCTCGAACTGACCTTGTCAGTCTTCTATCGCTTATTCTTGTCGTTCTGCTTCCTCTCACTGTTCTTATTGTTCTCATTATTCTTATTGTTCTTCTTATTAAGATCACAAGTATGCTGCGCTCTTAGTGCTGTTTTCATTACTAGTCATATTCGTCTTGGTTTTGCTAATACTGCTAGTAATATCTTTACTACTGTCATTGTTAATGTCAGTATATTTTCCCCAGTCTTAACCCTTGTGACCTTTATGTTTACGAATATGGCTATTGTTTTATGAGTGTGATTATTTTTAAGTATTAGGACTGTGATTACTGTCATGTCATGATAACAAGTGTCATCATTGCTATTACAGAAACTACTAGGGTTATACCATATTGTATTTTAAAGGGGCATACTACACCCACCTTCTGTTACGAATATGTATTTTCTTCTACCAGACTACATTAGTCTGTCGGTCTATCGGATGTCAGGAAGCAGGCTTCAGTAGGGATTAGCTTTATGTAAAGAGTTGGTAAGATAGGTAGCTAGATTGGTAGAAGGATATAGATAGATAGATAGATAGATAGACGGACAGATACATGGACAGATATATATATATATATATATATATATATACACATGTATACACATGCAGACACTCCAAGCATCTTTAAACAATAGGTTTGTACATCTATCTGTCTATACCTACATCTATATCAATATTTACATATGTGTATATGTATGTATATATGTATGTATGTATGTATGTATATATATATGCTTATTTACTGATTTGCTTCTTTGTATTCATATATACATATATACACACACATAAACAGGGGCGTATGCGTATGTCTTGTCTTGCAATCCTTCTTTCTATACTTCTTTAATGGCCTGTCTATCCTACTTCTGCAGTTTGAGGCGGTGGGCTGGGTGGCTGAAGCGGCGCTTCTGGGGTTCGAGGCTTTGTTGTGGGTTCAGGGTTGAAGTTCGAGCTTAACTATGCATTTCGCGCGGTTTTGGGGTATGTAGACTCTGTGTATTGGCTCGGGGTCTGTGGTTGAAGGTTCGTGCCTCGAGTTTGCGGTCTGCGTCTGAATCTCTGGCACTATATAGCCCCCTAAACCCCTAAACCCTGAACCCCTAACCCTACGATTTAGGGTCTATGCTTCTCAAGGCTTCAGGGGCTTTCGGGGTTTGGGCTCGAAGAGACTGTTCGAGGAGTCGGTGGTTTCGGATTTTAGGCTCTTAGGGTTTCGGAGTGAAAAGTTTGAGAGGCTGGAGTGAGAGATCTTAGCGTTTACCTTGCACAGACTACTTTGCAGAGCAATTTTCAGTCCCTCCTCAAAGTACAGGAGGCGACCCTCGCAGTCCCAAAGAGTTCGCAACAAATTGTAGGGTTTAGGGCATGTCATCGAAGATACCGTCGCAAACTCCCTGCAGATGGAGTGCACAGTAAGGTAAACTCACCACATAAAGTCTAGGTCCATTTCCCTTCGCAAGGCACCCCGCCAAACTTTAGGCCCCAACTAAACCCTAAAGCCTTGTTGAAGCTTGAGGTAGATGGGATCCCTAAACCCTAAACCCTAATCTGGGCCTCAGACACCCGACTTTCTGAAAAGCATCTTTGGCACGATCGGAGACCTGCGCCGAGTTCTCGGATAGTGGTTTCGGATTTACGGCCGGAGCTTCGAGTTGGACCTCTTTGGGTTTCGGTATGCTCCGAAGGTAAAGGGCTATTGGGCTCTGCGTCTCTTGACTTGAAAGGGCCTAGGAGCCCCAAAACCCAGAACCTCGAACCCAGATCCCCCCTGAAAACTCGAAGCCCTAAACCCAAACCCGTAATCCTCAACACTCAAACCCACCTCAAAACAAAAAAACACAATTTCAAACCCAGAACTCCAAGAAACCCAAGGCCCTAAAGCCGAAGGAAGCGTCGAACGGTTCCATTACGCCTCGAGAGCTTCCTCGTCGCGCCGGTCGCCACGCAATGCCGCTGCCAGTGCTGCAAGCGTGCCTCACTTAGACAGAGTTCCATAGGCGTTTGGGTTTAGGGGGTTTCTTTTCTGTGTTTCGTGTTTAGGAGGGTCTAGGATTTAGGTTTTGGGATTTAAATTTAAGGTTTAAGGATTAAGGGGATTGAAAAAACTACGAAAAGGATTACTTTAAGGATTCTTATAAGACCTACTAGATGGGTGCTATAAGGGTTCCATGAGATGGACTCTGTAAGGGTGGCTATAAGGCGTTCTAGAACAAAATCTGCAAAGGTTTTTTTTGGGGTTTACGGCCCAGGGCTATGGTTTTGAGGGCCTCAGGGTGCTTTGGCTTTGTTTTTTTTGAAACCCGAAAAACCCCGACATTTTCATGACTCGAAGATGAAGGCCTCTAAACCCGAAGCCCTAACCCTCTAGAGTAGTAGCCGGAAAGTTGGAACATCATTATCCTCGTGCCCTTAAGGTAAAGTATAAGGGATCCTAGCACTAATCCTCCTAAAGCCATGTTCCAACTTTCTGGCTTCTACTGTAGGCTCTAAGGACTCACATTTTAAGGCCTTTGGGCCCGAAGACCAAACTATATACGGCTTTTGGGCCTTAGGGTAAATACTATGGGCCTTACTTGGAGAAGGTAGTCCTTCTTCCAGCGGTTTCGACTCTGAAGTTCTTGGGGCTTATAGTGAATCCCAGAAAGTCGGAACATGGGTTTAGGATGATTAGTGCTGGGACCCCCTATACTTTACCTTAGGGGCATGAGGATAATGATGTTCCAACTTTCTGGCTTCTGCTGTAGGTGAGTTGATGGCTCAGATTTTTGGCTTCAGGTTTGTAGGGTGCTAGAGGGGATTTAAGGTTTAGGGGCTAGGGTAGTTTTGGCTTCAGGTTTGTTTAGGGATCAATATCACAGTATCACTATATGCGGCTTCCAGATGTTCCCGGCGGATGTTGGACTACGACACCAGCGGCGAATACACCATCAGTCACCCTTTGCTGCCACTCTGACTACCGGACTGCCGTCATCTTACCTTCGGTTAGTAGGGAATGGAGGAATGGGATACAAGTATAACATTACTACCATTCTTCCATTCCCTACTAACCAAAGGTAAGTTGAGAAACCCACCAAAATAGTAAAGATAACTATAGGCCCTATAGATCCCTTAAAGGAACCCTTAGACTAACCAAAGGTAAGTCATGCCTGTTCTTGCGATGCAGCAAAACCTTAGAGGCCAGGGACTGAAGGTCTGAAGCCCCGTACTCCGCGACCCTAGGCCCTTAGACCATCAACTGACAGCCTCCCCTAAACCCTAAACCCTAAACCCTGGACCCCAAAACCAGAACCGTAAACCCTAAAACCAAAACCCTCAACCCTAAAACCAAAACCCTAAACCCTAAACCCTAAACCCCAAAACCAGAACCCTAAACCCTAAACCGTGACAACTTACAACTGAGCCGTGTGGCGTGCGCCCTCCAGGTCGTTCCAAGCCTCGGCGCGGCAGCCCTAAACCCGAAACCCTAGGCAAGTAGAGGAAATGCAAACGTTGGAACGACGCTTAGGTTTAGCGGGTCAGGGGCTTTGGAGGTTTAGTTAGGTAAGCCCTAAACCTTAATCCTAAGTAATCCTAAACCCCAAACTCCCAAACCCCTGGACTTTGGATTTTTGGAGCTGGGCTGGGCAGAACCGAGGAACCCTGCAATGCGACTCCAGAAACACAGCCTGTCCTAACAACAGAAGGACCAAGATACGAGAAGGTTTAGGCTCTGTGATTAGGGGTTAAAGGGTTTAGGCTTTAAGGCCCCGTAAGTTACCGTAACTCTAAACCCTGATGGGTTAAGGTGCGTTGCTGCCATGGTGTGAACAACCTACCTTTTTAAGGTTTCATATAAGGAAATCATATTATGGAACCCTAAAAGGATAGGTTTCTAAGGGTCCAGGTACGGCTTAGGCTGCTGGCTGGCTGGGCCGAAGAGATGGCTGGGTGGTCGGAATGAGGTTTCCTAGGATGCCCAGTAACCTAGGAAAAAGGGCTCCCTTTTTGGTATTGGGTAACTTTATAAGGAGCCTAGGACTACAAAAAGGGAATGAGGGTACTACAGGGCATCCAAGTTTAGGGTTTCCAGCGAAACCGTCTCAAATCTGTTCTCACTCTCAGCAAGACCTCCTAGTTGGTCGCTTTTCGGCTATGATTGCGGCTTGGGTCATCCGGATTTGGATCGGTCCTGCCCAAGTGGAGAGATCTGGCTTTGACCCGGCGGTGTTAAGATGTGTTAAGGATTAGGACTCTAGGGATTTCGGCTTCGGCGGACCTGCACCCGGAAGCCATGCAGGCAAAGAGCACTCAAGACTCTAGATCAAAACGGACAACAAATCTGATGCTCAGCCTGCTGAGTAACAATAAGACTAAAACCAAGAAGCTGTAACGGCAAACTCGCCCCAACACGAAGCCTATATAAAAGTTACACTGACATGTAGCTTTCGAAACCCATGCCCTCGAGCGAACACCCTCACACCCTTTTAGGGTTTGGGGTTTAGGGTTCAGGGTTTAGGGTTTGGGGATTAGGATTTAGGGTTTGGGGTTTAGGTCTGGAGTTTCGGGTATAATCTTTACTTAGGAGGCTCTGGAGTCTATGACTTCCCCAAAATCCTAAACCGTAGCCTTATGCTCTCAGCCTGAGCCTCTTAAAACAAAAACATGGGTGGTTGTCAATATCGGGGTCCCTTCTTGGGTCCTTATTATAGTACGGCACCTAATATTTAGGGTACCCGAAAAGGGAACATAATTTTGACAACCACCCATATGTGATGAGCCCTAAACCCTATAGATCCCTTATAGGAACTCTTAAAGGAACCGCTAAGGGATCCCTTTAAAGGAGCCCCTAATTTTGACAACCACCCATATAGTTCTCTTGGCGCCTGTATTCCCTTGGTCTTTGCTCGCAGCTCGGAGGCCTGTTTCAGATCCTGCCAGCACTACGGGATGTCGTGAATACGCATATATACTTGTATATGTGTACACATACACACACATATGTATGCACATGTATGACTATGAACAGATACATCAATAAATGCCACGAAAAGAATCGAGCAACCATACAGACAAGTCCAAACGTATGTACACAAATGTGTTCATGTGTATACAGTTGTATAAATACACACACAGATTTGCATGGGGCCTCCCTCCTCTTCTGTATATATTTGTATGAACATGCAGACATGTCAGTATGTGTATATATATATATATGTATGTATTCAAATGTCTATCTGTGCATACCTGTGTATGCATATACACACATATCTAACCTCTATACATACATACATACATACATACATACATACATACATACACACACATACATACATACATACATACATACATACATACATATATATACACACAACGTGTGGCTGTGTGAGTCATTCCGTATGCAAGCAGGGTAGGTAGGCAGGCATGAACGGTTTTGTGTGTATGCATGTATGTATGTAGGTATGTATGGATGTATGCTGCTGCTACATGCACTTATATTTTTGTCTGTATTCAACCAGATACACAAATGTTCCGACATGTAAACACACAGCCACATAAAACATGCCGGCAACAAAAACTAAACATATGTAAACATAGATACATGTAGTCATGTATTTACTCACGTATCTTTTGATTTACAAAACCTTTTATCAATGTTCAGTAAGCTTGGTATGCCTACTGTTACCATGGCTTTCATCAGTCTTTAGACAGTTTTGGATCTAGGATTGAAGCAATCATGGGTTGGAGGTGGTTGACTTGCAAGGCTGAGGTGGCACGTATACGTGTTTTGGCGTTTCAGATTATCCAGTCAAGTTAAGTTGGGTTAGAGTCTGAGGGATTGTAGTTTGCGGGCTCGAATTCGGCCTCGAGGTTAGGCCTTTGGGGTGCATCACCCGCAGCACGTCCAAGTCACCATATCGCAAAGAGTTCGGGTTTCGGCTGACAAAAAACGAATCCCCTCTCCGCGAAAAGCTGAAGTTTAGGACTCCAGGGCTGGAACTCTCGCCAGCCCTAGAAAAACGAAGCCCTAAAGATTCCAGTATCCTAAAGGGCCCCAAGCCATAATATTGTAATACTAAGGCACCCGACGTCATATCATCAAACCTGCCAGCCCGAAGTGCGCAAACAAGACTCCGGAAACAGGCACAAGTCAAGCCTTTACGAACCAAGTTTATGGGCAAAAGTATAGACGCAGCGAATGTTTCTTAGCGTGGTTGGAAAAGGGAACTCGTTGCTGAGGCCCAAAGAGCAAAGCGGCTTGCGGTTAGTGCATAAGCATCTACATCCTTACGTTTTACAAAACCCTTCTAAATGATATCAGATCCTTGATTGCCGCGCCCCACTTCGCCGATGCCATGTTCTGCCGGCCTTACGCCGAGAGCATGGATTGCTCAAAGAGGGAAGGGTTTAAGGTCTGATGCAGAGATCGGGATAATTGGCAAGAAAATGTCTAAGGTGCCTGTCTAGGAGGCACAGAACGTACTGTATGGCTGATATAGGGGTATTCAGATTTCCATTTCAGGTTGTTTAGGGGTTCTTGTGCAGTTTGCTATCAAGGGCCTTATGAAGGGTTTAGTATAGCGGCCCTGATCACGAGAATAGGGCTTGGGTGCATAGTATACCCAAAACCCCAAACCCCTAAACCCTACAGTAGAAGCCAGAAAGTTGGAACATGGCTTTCGGAGGATTAGTGCTAGGATCCCGTATACTTTACCTTAAGGGCATGAGGAGTCTGATGTTCCAACTTTCTGGCTTCTACTATATAGCTAGTACAATGAACATTAGGAGGTCTAGGGAACGGTATTCCTCATGAGTCCAGCCTCCATTTTAAATTGATGTTTGGGCTGGGGTTCACGGTTTCGAGCACGTTCTTTGTGCGAATGTCTTGATCCATCCTAACTTCCTGCCCATTAGGAAAACACGATAATCATGCAAACTGGATACTGGGGTCTAGGGTTAGAAGTTTAGGGTGTGCAAACGGCATACTAGACGGGTAAATCGGCACTTCGGCAACTTTGGAGACCTTGGCAGTAAAACGTAATAGAACAGAGTTGCTTTTGAGAGGGGGGGGAGGGTGCAGGGTTTATGGAATGCTGCATGAGCACAGCGCGATAAGTGGAATGTTCCGTTTCAGCTCCTCTATAAATATACATTGGAACAGCCACAAATACTATATGATTTCATTTTTTGAGGGCACTGTGCTGAACGCTTCTAAAAGACCGATGAAGCCGCTACGAAATAAACTTGCACGAGCCACGCGAAACCGATGTATCACCATCACCAATCTCATGAGAAACATAGTCATCATCATCATCATCATTGTGGGCGTTGCTATTCTTGCTGGTATATAAACCCTATACTAAACCCTAAACCCTAAATCCTAAACCCACAACCCTACAGTAGAAGCCAAAAAGTTGGAAACCCAATAGCCTCAATCCTTAAGAGAATGTATAGAGAATCCCAGCACAATTTGGCCTTAATCCGGTTTCCAACTTCATGGGGTTTACTGTATATATACCTATTTGCATATGTCTTAAACATCCCAAAACCCCGTTCCAATTATTCAGGCCCATAAACCCTATACCAAACCCTAAACCCTAAACCCCCAAACCCAAAATCCTAAACCCACAACCCTAAACCCTAAACCCAAAATCCTAAACCCACAACCCTAAACCCTAAACCCAAAAACCCACAACCCTAAACCCTAATCCCTCAACCCTAGACCGATCCGAGCCTCAGGATATCTTTCTGGGATCCTTCGGGGTTCCAGAACGGAAGCCTCCCTTAATAAGGACCCCTAAGGTTTAGGGTTTAGGGGTTTAGGGTTTAAGGTGTATATAGCTATTATATAAGGACCCCTAGGTATATACCCTTAGTATAGCTATTATATACCCATTCTATAGCCCATTATAGGGTAAGGGTCCCCATTAAGGGTCCCTCTTTTTCCCCTGTGATCCACAGTAATATTAAACCCACTTGTATCCCTGGTACCCTCCTTGCTCAAACCCCTGGGAGGATCCAAAAGTAGATTGCTTCGGAGACTCCTACAAAGTATCCTTTAGTAGCATAGGGACCCATCTTGGCGGATCTTGTTTCTGGATACTCCAAGCGGTCTGGGCGCTTGAACACCCCAAACCCTGAACCGAACCATGCTCCCCCAGAAGCCCAGAAGGACCGTATAACGCATAACCATCAGAAACTCAGAATAAAGACAACAGAACAATGAAGAGTGGGGTTCCTTGGAAGGGGTCCTTAACGAGTTCCATAAAGGCTCCTTGAAAGGCTCTGTTACAGCGGCTTTCTGGCATTATAAGCGGGCGCGTCCGTCTACATTTAATAAAGAGGACGAGTCCTGTTACTCTTCCTCCTCATTATCTTCCTCCTCCTCCTCCTCAGCGTCTTCTTCCTCCTCTTCCTCCTCATCTTCTTCTTCGTCGAGATCCTCGTTACCCCAAGCGACGAGCGATCCATCCTCAAGAACGGCCACAAAACCTAAAAGATTGGCTTGGATCTCTTGCACTTTCTTCAGCTGACCCTGAACACTGCTGCTGTCACCACCCTCGGCAGGATCACCCCAGGTCACGACGGATCCGTCAATCAGAATGGCCGCAAAAGCGCTGTTGGTGGCTTGGATGCGTTGCACATGTTTCAGCTGACCCTGCACAGCACTGCTGTCACCGCCATGGTCTGCCACGCCCCACGTCACTACAGAGCCATCACCGCGAATGGCAGCAAAAGCGCTGTGACTGGCTTGGATCTGCTGCACATTCTTCAGCTGATCCTGCACAGCACTGCTGTCACCACCTTCGTGGCCCCAGGTCACGACAGATCCGTCACTCAGAATGGCCGCAAACGCGCCGATAGTGGCTTGGATGTGCTGCACCTTCTTCAGCTGAGCCTGCACGGCACTGCTATCGCCACCGCGGGTAGCATCACCCCAGGTCACGACAGATCCATCTGCAAGAATAGCAGCAAAAGCACTCATGGTGGCTTGGATGTGTTGCACATGTTTCAGCTGACCCTGCACAGCACTGCTGTCACCGCCATGGTCTGCAGCGCCCCAGGTCACTACAGAGCCATCACTGCGAATGGCAGCAAAAGCGGCGACACTGGCGTGAGTAAGGGAGCCGCCACGGGAGGCTTGTACTTGCTGCACGTTCTTCAGCTGATCCTGAACGGCTGAGCTGTCTCCACCTGAGCCATGACCCCATGTCACGACAGATCCGTTGCCGAGTATGGCAGCGAAAGCGAAGTCAGTGGCTTGGATATGCCGCACGTTCTTCAGCTGATCCTGCACAGCACTGCTGTCACCGCCCTGGGCTGCAAAACCCCACGTCACTACAGAGCCATCACCGCGAATGGCAGCAAAAGCTTGGTGACTGGCTTGGATCTGCTGCACATTTTTCAGCTGATCCTGCACAGCACTGCTGTCACCACCTTGGCCATGGCCCCAGGTCACGACAGATCCGTCACTCAGAATGGCCGCAAACGCGCCGACGATGGCTTGGATGTGCTGCACATTCTTCAGCTGAGCCTGCACGGCACTGCTATCGCCACCGCAAAAAGCATCACCCCAGGTCGAGACAGAGGCATCACCCAGAATGGCGGCAAAAGAGCCGTCAACGGCGCGATTAGCTTGCACTTGAACTCTGCTTATATTGAGATTCAAAGAGTCACCATGCCGCAGGCGGGTACGCTTGATTGGCGTTTCTGCATCCAGAAAACCTCCGGAGGAGTCCACTAGCCGACCTTTTCCGACGCCAAGTGCGGTCTCCGCTCGACGTTTCAATGTTCCCACTGCTTCGTCCAAGTTGGCTTGCACAGTAGCTGCCCTGCCACTGAGCAATTCCACTTGCACAGTGATTGACATGGCCCCAAGGGTCCAAGTACCCAATAATCATATACTCTCCAAAATCCTAACCTACATAACTGCTATCCTAAAACCGAATACCTAAATTATCGGGTGCTTTGGACTTTGGACCCTTGGGGTAGTGCGGCAGGTCGCTGCGGTTTAGCGAGGTTATAAGAAGTTGTTGAGAGTGATGCTTGCATGGAATGAGCAACTCTAGACTCTAAGCACATAGCCCTGTGATACCCCCCACCCCACAAATCCGAACCACAAACCTTAGAACCTTAATACTTTATACTCAAGACACGCTTAGGCTTGGATGGAACAGTCTGCCATAGTTCTCCTACAGACGGCAACTCATGAATGTGAGGCATCAAGCAGCCGAACCACCAGTCGGGCAAAGACTTCAGTGATCTACGCTCAGAGTATAAGCCCCCCTGAAACTTACTTGGGGGGTTAAAGTTTGCGGTTCATCCTAAACCTGTGTGCCCAAAACCCTCGAGGCCTTACTAGTCTAGCCAAATCAACCGCTGATGTAGGAACCTGATTAAGAAATCCTGGGTCTATAACCCCCAAGATATAGTAGGCTTCATATAAGGAATCCTAATAACGGCCAAAGGTTTTTTTTTTTATCAGGTTCCTACATTAAACAGAAACAGTCACAACATATCCGATTGCCAACCATTGATAAGCCACTTAGTTGCTGAGTTCATATACGCCCCCCAAAACGCGCACTTTCAGTTTTTATTTTTTATAGTGGGTAGTAAAAGTGTAAAGTGTATCCGCTCAGCTACTAAGAACCATTGACAAGCCACAAACCACTCTGGAACCACAAGCGCCCAAACTCCAAACCTTCGACTGGCAGATCCTGAACCCTTTAAAGGACCTTAAGCCCTACACTCTAAACCGCGTTAAGGAACCCCTTTAGGTTATCGATCTCAGCTGCACGACTTACTCGGGGTTGAGGGCTACGAGTAGCTTAGGATTAAGAGACGGCTAAGTTTTGGGTTTAGGGTTTAAGGTGTAGATTTAAGGCATACCTGTATCCCCAAACCCTACAAAATAGTAGGTTATGACCCCTTGATTAGAGGGTAGAACCCTTAAAACGGTAGGTTTTCGGATCACAAGGTAGGGCTTAGGGCTTTAGAGTCGGGTCTCGGGTTGGTTGCAATCGCCCTAGCCCACTTGGAGGTTCATGGGACTTAGTATGTAAGGATATAAGGACCTTAATTGAGGTTATAAGTAGTTGTAAGTACAGTTACCCAAATTATAACCCTAGTTACTAAGTCCCATGATCCTTTAAGCAAACCCGTACGGCACGGAGGAACGCAAAGACACCGGCCTCGCGTTTCCAGCTCCACGGCCTTCCTCAACTTCTCTTCGTGCTGCACTTTGGTCGCCTGGTCAATCGCCTGGCTGCGAAACACCATTCTGCAAATCATTTATCATCTAACCACTAACTAGCCGCAAATTAGAGGGTACTTGGGGGTCTGGGTACATCCTACAAACCTTGAAGACATATTCGAACCGAACCCCATAACCCGAACTCCCCCAAAAAAACAACAACAACCCCATATCCGAAACCCGAAACCTAGTCTCTAGACCCTAGACCCTAAATCCTAATCCTACCTCAAGCAATTGAAGCAAAGAGGCCGTGCTTGGATCTTTCCAAAAACGGTGAACCCGAAACCCCCAAAACCCTGAACCTCTAAGTTCCAAGAAGCCTTAAACCCTAAACCCTAAACGTCCTGAACACTTTCGAAACCCCCGAACCCTGAACCCTAAACCTTCAAACCCTCAGCGACTACATCCTGAACCTTGAACCATTTCGAACCCCTAAACCCTGAAGTCTACGCCCCTTCGAAACCCAACCCTACATAAATGGTAGGTTATGGCCCCTTCCGAGATTTTGGCTGAAAGCCTCGGTTTCGTCAGGTGGAAGAGGACTAGGCTGTGCAGTAACCCACTGGGAAAAGTATGTACTTTCTTAGCTTCTTACCTTATAATAGGAACCCAGAAACCTGAAAGTAAAAAAGTGTACCACTGAACAGCCTGGAGGAGGAGCAGGTCATGGGGTAAAGGGAACTCCAGAAAGTTGGAATATGGTTTCATGGTAGGATACCCCGTAATTTACCATAGAAGGGCTGAGGATAATCATATTCCAACTTTCTGGCTTTTAGCTTAGGGGTGTGATCGCTGCAGCTCCCCCAGCCTGGAGGTAAGGTTTGGCTTGCTCTCTCTCGGCCTCGAAGCTCGGCTTCCGAACTTGGAGTCTCGTCACAATGGTCCAGCGAGGGACCCACGTCTTCTGTTGAGATTTTGAGGGTTTAGGGTATAGGGTTGAGGGTTTACGGACCACCTGACAGCTCCTCATCAATGAGTAAACCTTCGCTGTCTGTCGCTGCTCCGACAGACCCGCCAACTTTCTTTCGTGGTCCGCGGACGGGACCTTGGATTCGGACGATGCGAAACGGATGTTCTCCTTGATCTCAGGGAACATCTCCTCACAGGTGGAGGCCTTTCCGACGGACTAGCCTTAACTAGAGCGTCGAGGGTCTAACCCATGAAACACTAGGTTTTTATTTGATCCCCAGGTACACCCTAAACCCTGAAACCCAAAACCCTGTAGATCCCTTACAGGAGCCCTTTTTATGATCCCTTTAAAGGAGCCAAAACTTTAAGATCCCTTTAAAGGAGCCTTAGGCGAGGCACCCTGAAACCCCCAAAACTCCGAACCCTAAACCCCTAAACCCTAAACCCTAAACCCCTAAACCCCCAAACCCTACACCCTAAACCCCTAAACCCTGAACCCCTAAACCCTAAACCCCCTAAACCCCTACTAAACCCTAAACCCCTAACCCCTAACCCCGAAACCCTAAACCCCCAAACCCTAAACCCTAAACCCCTAAACCCCTATAAACCCTAACCCCTAAACCCTAATCCCTAAACCCTGCACCTTAAGTCCCTAAACCAAACCCAGAGAGCCCAATACCCCTTAATTAAGGAATATACCTCAAATTATGAGGGGCTTCACATTATGATTTAAGCTCTATTCCTTAATTAAGGGGTATAAAAAGGCCTCTCTTTTTGGTATTGGGTAACCTTATAAGGAACCTAGGACTACACAAAGGGAATAAGGGTACTACTGGGCATCCTAGCAAAACTCCCGGGCCTCCTGCCGCGCTTTCTCCTCCGCTTGCTCCATCTCCTGGAAGCTCAAGCCTTGCTTCTGCAGCTTCTCTTGCCTGAAGGGCTTAGGTGGTTTTTAAAGCCCCTTTTTTAAAGAAGGGTTTAGGGCTTTAGGGATTGATGTAGGATTTGGGGTTTAAGGTGAAAGGTTTAGGGTTTAGGGACTAGGGGATTTAAGGCTTAGGGATTCAGGGATATAGGCTTCTCTTGCCTGACGGGCTTTTGTTTAAAGCTCCTTTTTAAAGGAGGGGTTAGGGCTTCGGGATTTAGGGATTTATATGGGGATTTAGGTTTAGGGTTTAGGGACTAGGGGATTTGAGGCTTAGGGATTCAGGGATATAGGGTTTAGGGTTTATAGAGTTTTCTGTTAAGGGATCTGTAGGGCTTCTGAAGGAAATGGGATTCCTTAATCAAGCTTCTCTTGCCTAAAGGGTTTGGATTTGTTTAAAGCTCCTTTCTAAAAGAGTTTAGGGATTTAGGGATTTATATAGTCAGGGCTTTGGGGTTTAGGGTTTAGGGATTTAGGGATTTAGGAATTTATATAGGGCTTAGGGTTTCGGGAGTTAGGGATTTATATAGGGATTTGGGTTTAGGGTTTAGGGATTTAGGGATTTATATAGGGATTTAGGTTTAGGGTTTAGGGGATTAGGGATTTATGTAGGGTTTAGGGCTTAGGGATTTAGGGATTTGAAGTTTAGGGTTTGGGCTTTAGGGATTTAGGGTTTAGGTATTTAGGGATTTAAGTTTTGGGGTTTCTTGCCTGAAGACGGCTTCTTTAAGGGACCTATAGTGTTCCTTGAAGGGATCTATACGCGTTCCTTGCAAGGGATCTGTAGGGTTTAGGGTTTAGGGTGCCCAGAGACTCCAACATCCTTTAATTCAGGAATACTCCTGAAAATATAGTAGGATTTTTGAATTAAGGGATACTGGAGTCTCTGCCTGAAGACGGTTTCGGGTGCGGAGTTTAAGATGGTAAGATAGTTTAAGGTTTAGGGTTCTATGACGGGTTTGTTGAACCTGGCCTGAGGAGGAGTTAGAATCATACGGGCTTATAGGGCTTAGGGCTCAAGGTTCAGGGCCATTTTGGTTGAACGCCTATTCTGCATCTGCCCATGGTCATCCAGAAAGCCGTTAGTGTAGGGTTTAGGATTTATGGCCTATCTCATCGGATTTTTCGAGTTTAAGCTTTGTAGGGTCTGTTTAGGGCGGGTAAAGCCCTGTTAACCCCAGTTAAGCCTGCCCCTAAACCCTAAACCCTAAACTCTAAACCCTAAACCCTAAACCCTAAACTCTAAACCCTAAACCCTAAACTCTAAACCGTGTACATCTACCCCAGGCCTTGGTCAAGGGTTGAAACCATGGGCCCCTAGTATGGGCCCTGGACCTTGGGATCCCTAAATACCTACTATATACCTTAAAAGCTGCCGCCCCCACCCTGTAATAGTGACCATAAGGATTATATTAATATTATATTAGGGCCCTATTATATTCCTATTATACCACTATTACAGGGTGGGGGCAGCTTCTAATATATACCCTATACAGACTCTTAAGGGTCCCGAGAACTCCCTCAAAAAGGCCTAAGGGTCCATATTAGGGCCCATACTTCTAACCTTAGACTTAGAGGCACAAAGTTCCACGACCGGAAGAGTCAGGCTCAATTGCTGCCCTCATTGTCTACACTCTTGGGCTTTTTGGTTTACGGTTGCGGACCTAGTCTTTACAACTCGAACAGGATATGGGATTTTTGAGTTAAGTGTTTCACGTAGCCCTTTGCGTACTAATTAATCATTCGAGCTTCAAAACTAAGGCTTTAGCGGTTGGACACTTACGCCTGCAGGCATGCAGAATCATTACTCGCACACAATATGAGATAAGGTAAAGGTTTAGGACCTTCTGTCGTCAGAAACAGAAGTAACTTCAAGTTGTGTCGTCGCCATCGAAAGCTGCAGCTTGGAAACATGGGAAGCAAAGCTTAGGCTTAGCCTGCGTCCTCGTGCAAGGCATCGGACTGGGCTTAATTGCAGCCGAAGGCTCAGGGTTCAGGATACAGTGGAAAAAACAAGTCATGCACGCAGCTAAACGGAGATATATAGATATACACATGTCTTTGTACAGAAACAGTATTACATACAACATGGAGACTGAGCAAAGGCGGAGTCGCTCAAAACACGGATAAGTTCTGTTTGCAGATGAGCCGCTGAACTTGCTTCAAGCTGCCTTCCAGGAGCATGCCTGCATGTCTGCTCAGGTTTTGCAGTCTGCCGGGTGAAACTTTTAACAGCTGCCATCAGTTTTCATGGTGTGTGACAGTGCTTCCATCTGCCCGTGGCTACCTGCCTACTGACCTACTTATCTACTTGCTCGGCCATTTATCCGTCCGTCCGTCCATCCATCCGTACTCTTGCCTAGAATATGTACTTACATGCATACATACATACATACATACATACATGCATACACCCCTGTATGTACAGGTATATTTGCATACATACCGACCTACATAGCCACGGCTTATGTGCAGACGGACCTAAATCTGCTCTCTCTGCGGGAACCTTGGAGGAACCTTTAGCAGACGTCTCTGTTTTTTGGCTAGTTCTTCCCAATACTTTTGGCCCCATCCGTAGGTGTCGCCTGGGGGTTCTCTTCATTCCCGATTCGCTGAACCGTTGACATCCCTGAAACTGAGAAACCCAATACGGTTAGGGTTTAGGGTTTAGGGTTTAGGGTTATCTCTGAAAACCACAACTCCGAAGTCCTAAAATCAAGAGCCAAACATTCTAAGGCATCCTTCCAGTAGCCGTTGTAGACATTGTAGACAGTCTGTGCACCCGTTATCGAAAGCCTTAGTATAGAAACCTGACGAATAGCGAGCCTCATCACCAAAAACCTAAAACCGTATTTTCGGTTTGCCCATAGGCCCCAAAGTAGTTCCTTTGTTGGGATTACCTTATAGGATTCTATATATGAACCCCCCAAAAGGAACTACTTTGGGGCCTATGGGTGAAGGGCTTCACCGGCCCTAGGGATGCAGAATTCTCGGGGCTTAAGTAGGGGATTAAGGGTTCAAGGACAGGAGTTTAGGGGCGCAGGGGTTTAGGGGTTTATATAGGGGCTTAGGGTTTACGGGTTTATATGGAGGTTTAGGGTTTCGGGGTGTACCTGTGACCCCGAACCCTACAGAATAGTAGGTTAGTACCCGTAAATTATAGGGTCTAATCCCCCAAACGGTAGGTTTTTGGATCCACAGGTAAGGGTTCAAGGACAAGAGTTTAGGGGTGTAGGGGTGTGAAACCCAAAACCTCTATCTCTGTCCCTATCTGTATCTGTATCTGTATCTTTATCCATTTCTCTATATCTATCTGTATCTCTGGGTCGCGAAGACTTGCGACATGCCTTCGACGGAACTCTCGAGGTCAAGCTGAACGAAAATTTTCTTCGCCTCCTGGGTAGGACATCGGCGGGTTTGGGGCTTCAGGGCTTTAGAGTAGAAGCCCAAAAGTTGGAAACCCAATAGCCTCAATCCTTTAGAGTAAATGTATTGGGAGTCCCGGCACTATTTGGCATTAATCGGGTTTCCAACTTTATGGGGTTTACTTTAGAGTATATACACGGATTCAGAAGCAGAGCTTAAAATTGTAAAATCACACTTGCCATCATAAGCCCTACACATAAACTGAGTGAAATCCCTCATCTGAAGATGTTGCCAACCTTACTTCACTGTGGCTCGGTTCGAGGCCTTGGATTTTTGGGGCTGATAGGGTTTAGGGTTTTAGGGCATTTAGGGTTTAGGGGTTTAGGGTTTAGGGGTCTAGGGTTAAGGGGTTTAGGGTTTAGGGGTTTAGGGTTAAGGGGTTTAGGGTTAAGGGGTTTAGGGTTGCGTGTGTTTGGGGCTTGGGCCATGGATGTCCGATCACTGGCGATTCCGCCGTCTGAAGGATGTGCATAAACCGTGAATGATCACGTGAACCTAAACCCTCAACCCTAGCCCTAAACCCGCCACCCCTGAAACTAAACTATCTTCAAAAGAAGCCCCGGAAGAGCCCCAAAGATGCCCGAAGGCCATTGGCCCGGTGCAGCCTTCTCAGCCGCCGCTCTCGGCCTGGCGCAGCCGCGCGCGTGACAGTATCGAGTGCTCGGCCCAAAAAAATCATTGCCACAGTCAGCACCCAACAACTGCATCGTGGGACCTATCACGACGAGGAGTCTCCTGGGTCGGCTCCGATGCGAGGTCGACGTCCTAAGTGTTCTCCTCAACCAAGCCGATTAGCCGGAGCATCGGCCTGTAACCCCACATCCTGCAATGCAAGACTACGGGCATACTCCATCTCGGGATGCCTGGAAGAATGCAGAGCCTGTTCCAAGATAATATTGGTCTCCGGAGATGTAGCTGCCCCCTGAAAGGGCGACCTCGGCCCTTCCACCGCGGGCTCTGGCTGAGAAAGAACAGGTAACGGGGAAGGTAAAGGATACCATGCTATTTATTGGTCTTTCGGGCGAAAGGGTCAAGGGATTCCGGTGCTTGACTTTAGGGTTTAGGGTTTAGGGGTTTACGGGTTTAGACTTGGGATCCTTGCGTGCATCTCGTCCGGATCGTCCGCAGTGACCGCTTGCATAAACCCCTAAACTCCTAAACCCTAAGCCCCCAAACCCTACGCCTAACGTGTGGAGTGCATGGAAGTGGGCCTGAAGTGCCCCTAAACCCTAAACCTTAGAAGGGGCCCCCACCCTGTAATAGTGACCATAAGGATTATATAGGATTATATTAGGGCCCTATTCTATTACTATTACAGGGTGGGGGCAGCTTCTAACCTAAACCCCTATACCGGCCTGAAGTGCTTCCATCGCGCGCTCGTCCTCCTTCTTGCGCCTCGCCCGTTTCCGCTTCCCGTTTGTTTTTTCAGGCTTAGGTTTGAGGGTTCAGGGACACCGACTGAGGTACTTGGGGGTTTCCGAAAATACGGGGTACCGCATTTTGGGATCCTTATATTGAGGATGCTACTATTTAGAGTACTATGTTAGGGTCCACTTGTACCAAGTCCTATGATCCTCCAAGTAAGGCTGAGCATGACGAATGCCACATACTGTCTTGCAGCGCTCTAGTTGGTCTTGCTTCGACTATGGCTTGGCTTGGAAAACAATAAAAATTTACAAGTTTCAAAAGCATATGGACCGAAATTCTTGGTGTACTGTAGAGAGGCCGTGTGCTTAGATCATCGTTGTGCTCCTTGCGGTTTGGTATCAAAGTTCACGCAGGATCCCGGGGCTTAAGGAGTCTGCGTGTAAAACAACTGTATCTGTAAAGGACTCTAAAGGGGGATGAATTTCTATTTAGCCAAGCCCCACATTGCGTTAAACCGTGAATCCCAACACTCAGGCCCAAATTCTTCTGTTTGCCAAAGTACTCGCCGGATGCGTCCTAAGCTAGGAACGGGCAAAACCCTGACCCAAAACGCTGGAAGTCAAGCAGCCCATCTTAAAATCTACATGCACAGAACATGTTTATTGCAGCCGTTGCATATCCTCTGTGTAGCCCATTGACAACCTAATTGCTTCCTAGACAAAACCTCTAACATTGAAATTCTTCAAGATCCTAAACCCACACCCAGAATCCTGAAATACAAAGGGGTAGCTGTCAAAATTAAGGTCCCTTTGTGGGTACCCTAAATACTAGGTGCCGTACTATAATAGGGACCCAAAAGGGGACCCTAAATTTGACAACCACCCATATAGTAGAAACTTAGGCCTTAAGGTACCTATATAGGGACCCCTTCGAGGCTTAAGTATCTACTGTAAAGGGTACATGGAGCCTTTGGGGCTTATGTCCGATGGGCCCAAAGAGGTAACGAATCTTCAGCGCAAGCCTCTGCAGTGAGCCGATGTTGGTCATAAGCAGCCTCGGCCAAGCTCCGGGTTTTATGCTCAGGAGTCCGTTAAGAGTTCAAGGTGCTACTTAGAGGTTCATGGGACTTAGTAACTACGGTTATAATTACGGTAACTATACTGATAAGCGTTAAAGGTGCTATAGGTTCTACAGTAAACCCCATGAAGTTGGAAACCGGATTAGGGCCAAGTAGTGCCGAGGCTATTAGGTTTCCAACTTTTGGGCTTTTACTGTAGAGCTTTAGGGTTTTAGGTTTAGGAGTTGGGAATCCTGGTTTGGCTTGAGGATTTAGGTTCGGGGTTCCAGGCTTTACTCAGAGGATCATGGGACTTAGTAAGTAAGGTTATAAGTACCTTAATTGGGGTTATAAGTAATTATAAGTATGGTTACCTTATTTGTAACCCCAATTACTAAGTCCCATGATCCTTTAAGTAGGCTCGGGCCTTTTAGGTTTGCCTAAGGTTGGGGGTCTAGGGTTTAGGGTTTTAGGGTTTAGGGTTTGAGGGTTTAAGGGTTTAGGGTTTTAGGGTTTTAGGGTTTAGGGTTTAGGGTTAGGGCTTAGGGTGTCAGGGTTTAGGGTTGTAGGGTTTAGGATTGATTTTCGATTTGAAATGACTTGCTTGACTTACTACCCCAATAAGCCACAGAAATACACGTTAAAATTTCCGATGCCTACTCAACTATAAGAACTCAAAAAGTTTAAAGGTTAGGTATTGGGGATCTAAGGTTAAGGTGGTGGATCTAGGGTTGCAGGTGTGTGGTTTAGGGTCTCGACTTAGCAGTTGAGTTCTTGGTGTTGAGGAAGCAAGTTTTATCATACAGTTCACACGGCTAATACTAACAACCAAAACGATAACACATAACATTAGTAGTAATATCATAATGATGATCGTAACATTAAACGTGGTACTTCTAATGACAGTGACAATAGTTTACGTCGTGTTGCATGCGAGCTGCAGGTGTCTAAGGTGCTGGGCTTTCTGAGCATTCCTCTCAGGAGCCCATGGTGTACTGAGTAAGCGCTATCTATATGCCCGAAAACCAAGGGCTTAGGGCTTAGGGCGGAGATTGACAAAGGCCGTGCGGTTCTCTAAAGGGGCCTCCGGTGTCGTTGACAAAATCAAGGCCTTTGCTCTCAGGTTTAAGATCCCAAAAGCCTTCCCAGAGTATACTATAGGGGCCTTAGTGATTCGAATAGGGTTTTGGGGCCAACTAAGCAATTACCATAATAAGGAAACCTAGGAAGAATGTTGGTAATTAACTAGGCCCCTATGTTAGATATACAACAAGCTTCTTCGTATGATTTCCATCCATCGGGCAGAAAAAACTTACGATCTCACACAGTGTGACCTCGTGAACCAGTCGTCTATTCGGGAGCATCGAACTCTGGCAAATTCGGGAAATCAAGAAATCTGCTTGCTCCGAGCAGCGCCCTTTTCCACTATGCGGATGAGCCGTCGACACTACATGCGTGATCGGCCCGCAAGATAAACTAAGACAAACTACCCGGAGACTCCAGAACCCCTTAATTAAGGAATATACCCTTAAGTTATAGTAGGATCCCTAAGATGATTTAGGGTATATTCCTTAGCTAAGGGATCTTGGAGTCTCTGGGTAAGGCCATGGCGAAGCCTTGAAGTCTACCGGGACAGCAGCGACTGCACGAAGCTGTTGTCACCTAGTTCATGGTTGGGATAGGGTTAGAAAGGGTCATGGGGCTCATATAATACTAGTTCATGGTTGGGATAGGATTAAAAATCTTAAACTTTTATTCCTTATTGGGTTTAAGTACCCATAAACATGTAAAATGCTACCCAACTATGACAAAGTCACCCTGGTGCAGATAGGCCATGGGGCAACCTGAGCTCTTGTTGAGGGATTTAAGGGAAGGTACCATACTAAGGATCTAGAGGGGTTCCTTGAAGGGATCTAGAACGGATCCTTTCAGGGTTCAGGGTTAAAGATTTAAGTCACCAGAATAATCCTTGATATGGTGGCTTAAATTAAACCCCTTTACAAGAACCCAGCAACGTGGGCGGGAGCTGGTTTGGAGAAGTGATCCTCCTCCGCCCTTTTTGGCATCGTTGACCATGTCGTTGACACTTGCTGGGTTGTAGCCACCAATCCAGGCGTTTTGCTCCAAAGTGTCGTCTGTCGGCCCTGGATCCACATCGCTGTACCGACGATTGGCACCCTCTTTGAGCCAGAAGTCCTGGGCATCGACCACGGGTCTCCAATCTTCACGCAGCTCCAAATCGTTCTCGAACCAATCATGTCCTGAAACATTGTCATCAGCAGTGGGCGACGCTAGGCACGACTCAAGATGACAGGTGCTGAAGTTTCTGACTTTCAGGAAACGGCACACACCTGGTCGAAAATATGGGTTTGAGCGCATAAAAGAGATTATTGTCATAAGAGCTAAAAGTTCCAGCTCAACCAGCAACCGGACCCTGCAACCAAAACCGTCCTAAACATCCTAATCGCACATATGCCGAGATGAACAAGTTCTGCTTTTAGTAATGCACGGGATACGGCACAGGCTGAGGCATGTAAGTAACAAGGTCGAGGGCCTCCTGTGACAATTCTCTGATGCAGTCTCTCCCACTCTTGCTACGGCCAGTTTGCAAGTGTTGTTGCAGTGGCCGTGGTTGCTGCCACCCTACTTACTTGTGTCGGTGTCGCTGATACTGTCTACTTTCACTCCCGCTACTCCTACTCCTACTCCTACGATGCTACTGATGACTGTGCTGCCGTTGTTGGCTTCGGAGGGTGTTAGAACCGACTTGCTTGTTGCTGCTGCAACGTCGGTAGTTCTCTGAATTCGGGTCCTTGTTTAGGCCCCCAAAACTTTATGGCACCCTTATTAAGACGGTAACAGGAAACTATTTCAGAGAACTACCCCTGTGACAGTTGATTTCGTTTTGCTGTAGCTGAAAAACTTGCTAGTTGTGCGATTTGGCTTCGTCGCCCCCAGTAGCATGTTCACATGTCGTTGTAGTCGCAAGCAATGGCACTCGCAGAAATAGAAGTGGTGGTCGACGTCGTAGTGTAATACTAGCAGTAGAAGTAGTAGTAGTAGTAGTAGTAGTAGTAGTAGTAGTAGTAGTAGTAGTAGTAGTAGTAGTAGTAGTAGTAGTAGTAGTAGTAGTAGTTATAGTAGTAGTAGTTATAGTAGTAGTAGTTATTGTACCAGTACCAGTACCAGTACCAGCCGTAACAATAGTGGTAGCAGTGGTAGTAGTAGTAGTAGTAGTAGTAGTAGTAGTAGTAGTAGTAGTAGTAGTAGTAGTAGTAGTAGTAGTAGTGGTCGTGGTAGTGGTAGTGGTAGTAGTAGTAGTAGTCGTAGCAGTAGCAGTAGTAGTAGTAGTAGTAGTAGTAGTAGTAGTAGTAGTAGTAGTAGTAGTAGTAGTAGGAGTAGCAGTAGCAGTAGCAGTAGCGGTAGTAGTAGTAGTAGTAGTAGTAGTAGTAGTAGTAGTAGTCGTAGTAGTCGTAGTAGTAGTAGTCGTAGTAGTAGTAGTAGTAGTAGTAGCAGTAGTAGTAGTAGTAGTAGTAGTAGCAGCAGTAGCAGTAGCAGTAGCAGTAGTAGTAATAGTAGTGGTAGTAGCAGTAGTAGTAGCAGCAGCAGTACAAGTTGCAGTAGCAGTAGCACTCGTAGTAGAAGCAGGAGGCGCAACCCACCAGACGAGGAGGAGATAGTAGCAGACTCGCAGAACCAGTGTCAGAAGTAGCCGTACTTGTGGTCTTCGTTGTCACCTCGCCATGAATCCTGCACTTGCGCTCCATGGTGTACCGCCTGCCTACGGGCTTAAACTCCAGCTATCAGCCAAGCTTCGGAAAAATAGCTTCGTGTCTCCGAACTTGGTTTTGCGGAACTGGGTACGCATGTTGAGCACTCCAATCTTCGTGAGATTCGTGTTTGGCTCTGCGGCGGCGTAAATGTCGTAGACGTTGGTCTTGGCATTCCTTGCTTGCGGTTGCCCATGCACTTAAAGGTTGGGGCAAGTGGGACATACATGTGACTTCGACACTGCCGAAAGCTGTGGAAGACTCTTATACCGGCTATGAGTTTGGCCTCGAGAATGACAAGAGGAAAGCCTAAAATGTTGGAGTCTCCCCAAGACACAAAACAATTTACTATATCCAAACCAGGGTCAGAAGCCCCAATTGTTCTTGAATGTGCACGAACTTCTTTGTCTTGTGCTCCGCAAACTTGCTGCGAATGTCATCCACCGGCCGCAAGCACAGCACGAAGGGAAACTTCATCTTGTCATAAGGCAGGCCCGACTCCTTTGAATTGCGATGCGTAGCATTCGCAACATGATTGTTGGACGTAGGGTTTATTGCTGCGGTTTGTCCAACTATTAGTAGTAGAAGAAGTAGTAGTCGTCGTCGTAGTAGTAGCAGTGCTGTTGCTGTTACTCGGACTGTTGCCGCTACCACCACCACTACACGCTACACACTGCCGCAGCCGCTGCCGCTGCCGCTGCTACTGCCGCTGGGACTGGGACTGGCACTGGCACTGGCACTGGCACTGGCACTGGCACTGGCACTACCACTACCACTGCCACTGCCACTGCCACTGCCACTGCCACTGCCACTGCCACTGCCACTCCCACTACCACTACCACTACCATTTAATACTGCTGCTGCTCTTTCGGCTACTGCGGCTCTCCTGCCCCTGCCCCTGCCCCCCTGCCCCTGCCCCTGCCCCTGCCCCTGCCCCTGCCCCTGCCCCTGTGCCCCTGCCCTGCCCCTGCCCCCTGCCTGTCCCGCCTGCGCCTGCACCTGCACGTGCCTCCTGCTCCTGCTCTTGCGACTCTTGCTCCTCCTCACGCTCCTGCTGGTTCTGCTCCTGCTCCTGTTGTTGCTCCTGCTGCGACTCCGGCCCTACACTGCTACACTCCTCACTCCTACAATCCTCCTCCTCCTCCTCCTCCTCCTACCACTACCACCACTACTACTACTGCTACTACTACTACACGACGACTACTACTACTACGACGACCAACACTA